ATTGCGAGCTTCATGGTCTACACATCAGAAATACTCTTGGAAGTATCGAAAGAGGCTGTCATCTCTGAGATGAGCAAACCACAGATTTAGGGCTAAACTTAGTTTTGCTGTTGTGACATGAAAGCAATCAGAGAGTACATTTAAATGAACAAGGCCCAGTTAGGGAAATATTGAGTTTGCTAAGAATTATATACCGAAGGAGCTGCAAAACCTGGCTGTGCTGCTTAGACATGACCTGGGAGAGTGTATTTGGAGCGGATCCTGAGGGTGGCATGCTGGGGTGAATACAAACGATTCCAGTATAGGGTTGTGCATTTTCCATAGTGGGAGACTCTTTTCAATGACTCCATATTTAATGCCCTGACAAGGTAAGCCACAGCTATATTAACACACTGCTGGGAATGGCTCTTTTAAATCTTAATAAAAACTGACACTGTGTTAATGAGGAATAAATAACAGACCTTTCTGCAGAAAAAGTGAGCCTGACCTGTTTCTCAATTTTAAGGTGAGGACAATTTCAAAAAGAGCATGCTAGAATAGACATATGAAATAAGACGCTAGCATTCACCACCTGAATACATTCTAGACAAACAGGACAGTGTTTCCACAGGCAGAAAAAAAAAAAATGAGACCATGAGACAGTCATCAACAGTATTCAAAAGAGCAAAAATGAAAGCTAGCTAGCACTGATTTTACAGATAAAAAGGGCTTTAATATTATCAATGAATATGACAAGATCCTAGAACAGCAATAGCATAAAACTGTAAGAGGAAAGAACTTACCATAAGGAAAGCAAGATCTAATTGACAACTATGATCACTGACCTAGAGACTGAAGATAATGTCTACTGACATTACCACTACAGGAAATACAAATGACTGACCACTCTGATCCACGTAACACAAAACAACAGGGATACTGTCATCTGCCCAATGGAAAATTATTACCAGTTGTTCAGTTCCCACACACATAGCAATTTTTACACCCAAACCCGTCATGTGCAAGAGAAAATTTTCCCTCTTGTAGAAGGGTCTTCGAAGTCCAAAGCAAGTATACACAATTTCAATTCTGTCTTTCCTTTTCCAGAGGGACTGTGATGATTAATCCTGATTGGTAACTTGTAGTCATACTTGTCTGGGAGATTAGTAAAGCACACTCTAGGTGTATCTATGCAGGCATTTCCAGAGATGTAAAACTAAGGCACGAGCTGGAAGGTGGCTCAGTGGTAGAGTGCTTGCCTTGCATGCATAAGGTCCTGGGTTTGATTCATCAGCACCACATAAGCAGAAAAAGCTAGAAATGGTGCTGTGGCTCAAGTGCACTAGCCTTGAACTGAAGGGCTGAGGGACAGCACCCAGGCCGAGTTCAGGCCCCACAACCGCCCCCCCACACACACACACAACTAAGGCATGAAGACTCGCTGTACATGTGGGCAGCACCATCCATCCCAAAGACTAGGTCCTGAAGTAATAAAAGGGGGGAAAAGACACAGCTAACTACTATAGGTAGTCTCTTGGACTCTTTTTCTCTCTCTTCTCTCCCTCTTCCCCTTCCTCTTCTTTGTGTGTGTGTCTATGTGTCTGTCTCTGTCTCCTTCCTATCCCCTATGAGCTGCTCCATTCCAGCATGCTCTCCCCACTGAGATGAACTAAAAGCTCTGAAATTGCAATCCAAAATAAATCCTTCCTTTCTAAAGATGTTTTGCATGGGTATTTGTCAAGGACTTATAGCTGATGGCTTGAGTGGTCAATCACAAACTAGTGAAAGAATAATGTTCACACTCTTTTTTTCTTTTTTTTTGGGGGGGGTCCAGTCCAGTTCATGCCAATATGCAGATAGAGTACCATGGCCCGCCATCACAGTAAGTAAATGTAGAACTCGTATAACAAAAGGAAGCCATGATCCTGAATTGTCCCATTGTTGGTTCAGCTCATCTATGTGGCTGTCATTATCTCGGCTTCTTAATGGAAATGCAAATGGAATATGCATTCTTAGCAGGTCTCAAAACTCTTATGTTGCTTCATTATATTATGTAGCATAAACCATTTAAAAATTTTTCTTTGTTGCTTTGTATGTCCCTCCCCCACAGTATAACCCCTGCTTTCACTGTATTTGATGTTGTTATAAATTGTGAGGGGGGAGGGAAAAAACAAATCGTTTAAATAAGGATACAGGTGGACCCACTGTAACAATGAGATGTACAAGTCATATGTCAAAAACAAACTTTACAACTTTGGTGGGGGGGGAGGAGAGTTGGGGGGTGGGGAGGAGGATGGGAAGGGGAAACAAAGGAGGAGGCTACAATGCTTGATAAGAAATGTACTCATTATCTTGCCCATGTAATTATAACCCTTCTGTACAGTATTTTCACAATAAAAAAAAGCAATATAAATACAAGGTCCTAGAAAAGAAAAAAAATGTCATGTTACTAAACTTGTCTCCCACTGATATTCGTGAAGCCAAAAAATGCCACATCCTGATTGGAATGACAGAGGTCGGTGTCATCTTCAGACTTAAATTAGGCAGGGTGATTACACCATTCTATTTCCGCCCAATTTACTAATTTACTCAGGAAAAAAAATATCAAGAGAATTACAGTATAGATGCACTTATGCAAGAAGTAGTCCCAATTGCATCTGATGTTCTGGGTATGATAGCTTTATTAAAAACTCAAAGTACCTAGCTCATAGTCTCACAGTATGTGGATTCTGATCCTAGTGCATATTACTTTTATTATCTGTCAGGAAAGATTATCTGAGACATTCCACATTCCCCTAAGCAGCAGTATAGTCATAGTCCTGTTTCTGCATTACTTGTTCTCTAACACAATAAATCCAGGTTCCTGGACTTACACTTTACAGAATATTGTGTTAGAATCATAACATCAAGCCATCATACCTGAAGAACATAACAGTGCTATGACTATGCTAGAATTTTAGAAAAGGTAATGTATTTGGTGAGGTAGAGATCTGTGATTATCTGGGCTGTTATTTGGTGAGATACAGCAGATCCATGGTTGTGTGGGCTGTGTTATTTGGTGAGATACAGCAGATCAGGGTTGTCTGGGCTGTGTTATTTGGTGAGATACAGCAGATCAGGGTTGTCTGGGCTGTCTTATTTGGTGAGATACAGCAGATCAGGGTTGTCTGGGCTGTGTTATTTGGTGAAATAGAGCAGATCCGTGTTTGTCTGGGCTGTGTTATTTGGTGAGGTAGAGCAGATCTGTGGTTATCTGGGCTGTGTTATTTGGTGAGGTAGAGCAGATCCAGGGTTGTCTGGGCTGTGTTATTTGATGAGGTAGAACAGATCCGTGGTTGTCTGGGCTGTGTTATTTGGTGAGGTAGAACAGATCCGGGGTTGTCTGGGCTGTGTTATTTGGTGAGGTAGAGCAGATCTGTGGTCATCTGGGCTGTGTTATTTGGTGAGGTACAGCAGATCCAGGTTTGTCTGGACTGTTATTTGATGAGGTAGAGCAGATCCGGGGTTGTCTGGGCTGTGTTATTTGATGAGGTAGAACACATCCGTGGTTGTCTGGGCTGTTATTTGGTGACATACAGCAGATCCAGGGTTGTCTAGACTGTGTTACATGGTGAGGTAGAGCAGATCCAGGGTTGTCTGGGCTGTGTTATTTGGTGAGGTACAGCAGATCCGGGGTTGTCTGGGCTGTGTTATTTGGTGAGGTAGAGCAGATCCAGGGTTGTCTGGACTCTGTTAGTTGGTGAGGTAGAGCAGATCCGGAGTCGTCTGGGCTGTGTTATTTGGTGAGGTAGAACAGATCCGGGTTTGTCTGGGCTGTGTTATTTGGTGAGGTAGAGTAGATCTGCGGCTGTCTGGGCTGTGTTATTTGGTGAGGTACAGCAGATCTGGGGTTGTCTGGACTCTGTTATTTGGTGAGGTAGAGCAGATCCGGGGTTGTCTGGGCTGTGTTATTTGGTGAGGTAGAACAGATCCGGGGTAGTCTGGGCTGTGTTAGTTGGTGAGGTACAGCAGATCTGCGGTTGTCTGGGCTGTTATTTGGTGAGGTACAGCAGATCTGCGGTTGTCTGGGCTGTGTTAGTTGGTGAGGTACAGCAGATCCGGGTTTGTCTGGGCTCTGTTATTTGGTGAGGTAGAACAGATCCGGGGTTGTCTGGGCTGTGTTATTTGGTGAGGTAGAGTAGATCTGCGGTTGTCTGGGCTGTGTTGAGGTGGGGAGAGGCAGGAGAGGTGTTGCAAGGTAAAAGGCGCAGGGGGAAGACTTTGGGGTGATCAATACCCTAGTTACCTGGATTCAGATGATGAGCCACAGATGTACACGTGTCAAACTATCCAACTGTCCTGTGGACCTGCAAGTTGTTCCATTTCCATGATTCCGTTGTGAAGCTCCTGCAATGTATACTGCACACAAGAATGTGTCGGGGGTATCTATTCCTCGTCACCTTTTGAATCAGTGCGAATCATCAGCACGTCCGTCAGCAATCAATGTCTCTGGGAGGAAAAACAATCCACCAGAGCTGTCTGGAACTTTCTTCTGGGAGCGGCTTCACCTCCTTTGAGTACCCTACAGTGATGCGAATCTTCTTCTGACGGTTCTAGCCCAAGTTTCCAACCCCAGCTACCTGGCGAGGCAGGGGCAGCCGAGCAAAGGGGGCGAGACCCGGGCTGGGGACGCGTTCAGATCCTGGAACAGAAACAGGGGACGGGGAACCGGGGGGGGGGGGGGGGGGCGGCGCGCGGCCCGGCCCCCCCCCCGTGGGCCGCAGGGCCTTGTGACGCCGCCGCCCGCGCCCCGCCGCCGCCCGCCGGCCCCCGCGCGCCATTCGCCCCTCGGCCGCACGCAGGCAGGGCTCCGCGCCGCGGCCTCCCTCGGACCGGCCGCAGCCATGCTGTCCTGCATCCGGCTCCTGGCCGAGCGCACCCGCCCCTCGCTGGACACCCTGCGCCGCGCGCGGGGCAGCTTCGGGGCGCCGGGGCCCGGGGCCGCCCGCCGCCGCCGCCGCCCCGGCCCGGCCGCGCCGCCCGCCGCCGCCGCCCGCCGCCCGCTGGCCGCCGACGCCCGGGACGCCGCGCCGGTCTCCCCGGTGCGCCAGAACTACCACCCGGACTGCGAGGCCGCCGTCAACCAGCAGATCAACCTGGAGCTGCACGCCTCCTACGTCTACCTGTCCATGGCCCACTACTTCTCGCGAGACGACGTGGCGCTGGACAACTTCTCCCGCTACTTCCGGCGCCAGTCCGGCGAGGAGCGCGAGCACGCCGAGCGCCTGATGCGGCTGCAGACGCAGCGCGGCGGCCGTCTGCGCCTGCGCGACATCCCCCGGCCGGCGCTGGACGACTGGCAGGGCGGCCTGCAGGCCATGCGGCGCGCGCTGCTCCTGGAGCGCGACGTCAACCAGGCGCTGCTGGACCTGCACGCGCTGGCCGCGGAGAAGGGCGACCCGCACCTGTGCGACTTCCTGGAGACGCACTACCTGGGCGAGCAGGTGCGGGCCATCAAGGAGCTGGCCGACCACGTGCACAACCTGGCGGCCCTGGGCGCCCCCGCCTCGGGCCTGGCCGAGTACCTGTTCGACAAGCACACCCTGGGGCCGGAGGGCGCGCAGCACTGAGCCCGCCCGGCGCCCCGACAGACCGCGCACGATTCTCTCCCCGCCGGACGGACGGACAGACAGACCAGGCGACCATGACACTACCGGGCCTGCAGGAAAAGCCCTGGAAAGCAGCGCTGTCGGACACCTCCTCCGTCCCCAGACCCTTCCTCCGACCGCGACCAGGCCCCGAAATCCCGCCCCCGCCAGCCCCACGCTGGTTTCAAGATCCTGTCCCCCCCCCCACCCCGCCGAGAACACACGTGGTGTGGCCGGAAGCCGCCCACGAGGAGGCCGCGACCGCGCGCCTGCGCTTTCCCGGTAGAACCGTCTGAGGATGGCCTGCTTTCTGAGAAGTGTATCCGCAGCAATCCGTTCGTCAGTGTGCCAAATGCTGGCCTTGGAAAGTCAGTGTATATTCGAATGGGAAGGGATCTGAGAATTGTTGCTATTAAAACCAGAAACGCCAAGAGGCTTGAGTGGTTGGTGTGTAGCTCAGAGTCCCCCCGAGCATTTGCAATCTCAGCTCTTTGCCTCTAAGAAACCATGGCAAAGCGAGCTGTTTGGCCCCATGCTCCATAGGTGGCCACTGGGCTACATAACCTCCTTTGAACACACCCCAGGGGATGAACACACTGCATAAAACACTTCTACGTGGTCCTCAGAATAGAGGGGAAAGAACTTGGAGTGGAAAAACTCAACCATGGGTCCAGAACCAAGAAAGCATCTGCTGAGTACATGCTTTCTTTGGCCAAGAGTAAGGGTGAGGTAAGTGGGAAAACACTTGGAGAAAGAACAGGCACTGGGCCAGATTAGATTGGAAGTTGGGAAAATGGGCAAGTACAGTGGATAGCCGGGCAGTGCCCTCCACAGAAGACTGCTAACACTAGACAGTCAGAAGCTTAAAAATGGTTGTGTAGAAGAATAACCTGAAAAGCACCTGATTGTCTTTGGTTGGTTTTTCTTTTTTTTGGGGGGGGGGGACTGTCTGAGACACCGATGCCAAGATAGAATTCACTGTACAAGAAATCAGAAGCAAAAGGCTCTGAGAGAAAATGAGAAAGGAGTTGAAAGAAATAAGGTGCGGTCTTCACACTTTGTGTAAGTCTGGTCCCCAGGGAAGGAAGAAGGAAAGTCATGCAAGGCTATCCAGATCTCCAGCTGATAAAAAGCAGCGGAGTCCCCGGTCTCCCAGAAATGGCCCACAGAGGAAACTATAGAGAATATAGACTGGCAATGAACTAATGAATCCGTTTCAGAGCACAGCAACAGGGACTGTTTTTAAATTATGTTCCCAGCAGCCCAAGAGCTGAATAGTATATGCACAGCATCACATAAATCTAACACATTTTTAGATTAAAGCGTCACATGGAGAATGACACTGAAGCTGCTATTAAATACAATTTTGTCAAACATCATGATGTGACAGATTCCATCATATATTATTATTTAATGTAATTTTATTGCTCTTAAGGTGTTACACAGAGGGGTTACCATTTCACAATTCAGGCATTGAGTACATTTCTTTTTTTGGACAGTGTCACCACTTCTTTTGCTTTCCCTCAGTTTCCCCTTCCTGTCCCTGCCCACAAGTTGCATAGTTCATTATCTACGAAGTGCATACTTTGTACCATGATTTCATTTGTTCACCCTTCCTCCCTCCCTGTCTGTGCCCCCTTTGTCTCCCTAAAAAGACAAAAAAAATCTCAAAGCAAAAACAAACACCAACAACAACAACAATAAAAACCATTGTTTCCATTTTCTGGAATTCATTTTGATATATAGTATTTTTATTTTGGAGAGGAGTTACACCTTTGGATTACTCCCCTAAGAGCCGTTAGAAAATATCCTCTTCAATATTTCTAAATGTTTTTCAAACAGCAGACTATAACCCATTGTATGTCATCAAAATTTCAATGAGTCACCAGCTACCTTTTAAGAATAAAATAGAATTTTAAAGTAACTGAAAGTTGTGCCGTGTGTGTGTGTGTGTGTGTGTGTGTGTGTGTGTGTGTGTGTTCTCATGAATACCAGTCTTTTTAAAACCATCTGATCCACTTATCCAGTTTGGCATTTTCTGGGTTAATTGAAAATGGAATATTCAATACTTTTATCCCAGGACTGTCTCCAAATCATAATTTTCTAGGTCTTGTCCCCCTGAATTCCTAAGATTATAAGTATGAGCCACTGGTACCTGGCTGTGATATTTCATATTCTATGTTGTCAAAAGCATTCAGTCTTAGGAAATTATTTTTGTCTACTTTCTGCTCAAAACCAAATTTCCTTTCCCTACTGTTAGTTGATAATCCTCTTATTTCACTAAGAAATTAGAAGTCATGGTGGGAGAATCTCACATTTGTCTGTATTGGATTAATCATATGCTTACATCTGTATTCACTTGTCATATCTTTTGTTCTGCCATAATGATGAAAGCATCTATGTCACCTCCTCAAACTGACCTCTCACAATACCTGCACCCCAATCTTCCCACAAGAACATGAGAGTACTTGTAATAATCCTCTTTCTTGAATCAATTGTGCCTTCTCTATCGGTTGGTTGCAAAGCAGGCATTGTGTTATTTCTCTTCATCTTTAGCGAATAATGGAAAACTTGCAGTACATACCAAGCCACCACCTCTACTTATCTTTTCTAACATACCTTCCTGAAAAAGTCTACTTTCCATCTTCATTTCTCTCATCCTGTCAATTACCTGTGCTTTTATCCTCTGTCAAGATCATCTATGGCTTCAAGGTTTAAAAACGCATTTCTCAATCTTGCTCTTAAACAACTAAGTAGTAGTACTTTTAAGTCCTCATAAAATACTCTTCCTTATCACATTTTCTCATTCTAATCCCTTCAAACATCTCCTTGGCCTTTAAGCATCTAATGCCTTTAGAGCTCAGAGCTCCCTTCCATCTAGGCTTCCTACCCTTGTTTTCTAAAGATCTATCCAAACTAGACACTCTTATGTAGTTTGTTTAATGTCATTATTGAACTCAACTCACATACTGAAATATATCTTATATTTAACAGTTGAACACCAAGCCCTTAGTTGGATCACCTGCTAAACCCAATCTTCTGCTTCTAAGCAGGCACTATTCAGGAAGTTGAGAGCTGAGAATATCAAGTTTGAAGCCATCCTGGACAGACAAATCCATAAAATTCATCTCCAGTTAACCACCAAAAAGCTAGATACAGTGGTGTGGTTCAAGTAGTAGAGTTCAATGACATTATGGACAAATGAAACAAGCATCCACAGTATTTGAGATAAGAGCATGAAATAAGATTATTTTTAGCAGTATTAATGTGGGCAACAGTAATTTTGTGACAATAATATGACCTATTCCATGTGGTTTCAAATTATGGATGCTCAGCCCTACTGTAAATACAGTTTAGGTAAAATTGAATAATTTCAATTACTGAGTAATAAACTCTATGCATTATAATTCTAGAGTTTTCCTGAACATTTGTGATTTTTCCTCAATGACAATCTCCTTTGAACCATACACCCATGGAGATTAAGAGGCTACTGTGTATATACAATAATTTGTATATGTCAGCTGTTATTATTTCTCTGTTCAAAACTCTTTTGTAGTTTCTCTTCAAATTTGGGAGGAAAAGGAAGGGTAAGATTCCATACCTCACAAGGCTATCTGTGGTCTGAGATTTGTTCAAGATGAATCTCAGTGTTGGAGCAGCCTATATTATCTCTCTATAATGAATGAGAGAGATGAAAAAGCAGAATAAGAAGGAAGGAGAGAATGCCTTTCATTTACTATACTCCACACACATTTGCTCCCTGTATCTCAAGGCCTGTTTTTCCCATGAGGAACTCTTTGCTTTTGAACATGAACATAGTTTACCCTCAGACCTTCAGATTGCTGATTGTCATATGCAGGGACTTCACTAGTTATGTGTTCTAATCTGTTTCCTGTTTACTTGATTTCCTCTTCTCTGTGGCACTTTCTACCACATGACACTTTTTTTGTTTTATTATGCCTTCTTCTCTCACAAGAACTTAAGGCCTTTGTTTGTTCATAGCCATTGCATAGCTCTCAAGGAGTAACTATTCCTTGCTATATTTACAATGAAAACAATGAATGAATGAATGATCAAGTGAATGATTGAAATACAAGTTAGCTGGAAGTCCTTCATCTGGACTTTTCACAAAGTTAGTATCAGAGAAGTCAGTGTAGAAGTTATTTATGTGGAGATAAATAAGGTTGAATTAATAGCAAAATGGCAATACAGAGAGAGAAGGACTCAAATATAGGCACTTAGAAAATGGAAAAATTCTACATTTAGGGGATATGGAAAAGATTCAGAAGAGGAACCTAAAAACATGAAGGCAAACATAAAAATAAGCTGGTCTTCGAGGTTGTGGACAATGAGCTGGAAGGCCATCGGAGCTGGCAGCCCGAAGCCCCTGACAGACTACGCCGCTAGGAGTGAAGATCACACGCCATTGAACGTTAACAATGAAGTCAAATAATAGTACAAAAAGCTCTTGCAGGAAGGTTTTGCTTTTGTGATACTTAAAGGCACAAGACAGTGGGAGAAAGGATATGTATGCAGTCAGGCAAGGAAATAAGCCAGTGAGCACTTGGGACATGAGTAAGAAGGTATGCTTCTGAAGAGAAAGGGGCACAAGATAAAGAACTAACTCAAGGATAACCTGAATGTGTCCTCACAACGCACAAACAAAGAAGAAACAGTGGAGACTGTAACATGAGAGGAGGGTAATTGAGGATGCTTACATTGGCTAACCTCAGATTTCTAAATAAATTTAATAAAATGATTTACATAGAAATTGGTTATCCCTATGTAGAAATTATGCCACTTGTAAATATAATCAAAAAAGGAATGTTATTTTACAACAGAAAATAAGGCATTCTTATGCCTCAAAGTCTAGAATTTTCAAATAGAAAATATATGTAGTTGGAATTGAACCAAACTGAGGGTAGATTTCTAAACAAAAATGCAGTATGCAGAAAGAAACGACATTAAGTCCTACAGATCAT